GGTTGAGGTTTGATCATTTCATCTTGCTTTCTGAACCAACAGAAAATACTATACTGGAAAACTGACACAGCTCAAGGCTTTTTATCTAAAAGCACACCTGAAGGCTTTTGTGTGTTCAAGCTTGCGACTGCCTACAATAGCACTTGTCTCATCTGCAACCTCGTAGAGTTGAGATTTGTCAGCAGGCAGTGGAACGTTATATTTTCTCAGAGATGCCACCAAGACCTGGCATAGGCGAGTCAAGGGACTGCCTCCTGGTATCTGATAACGGTAGATTCGTGTACCTGAAAAGAAGGAGACCACAGCTATCGCCATAGCTGCAGCAGGTATACCAAACCCCCATCCCCACCCGACATGTAATTGTATATAGACCAGAAAAGATGAAGCAACAAGTGCCCCAATGTTGATACTGAAGTAGAACCAATTGAAGAAAGAGCTTTTGAAGTTCTTCTCAGTTTCATCAGCATCATCAAACTGGTCTGCTCCATAGGATGAGACACACGGCTTGATCCCTCCAGTTCCTAGTGCTACCAGGTAGAGTGCAAGGAAGCTTACTGTTGTCTGAATGCCTGTTGGGTCGCAAACATCTTTAGCAGAGCAGGCGGGTTTTAGGCCCGGGACGGACGCCGACAATGTTAAAAGTGTCATGCCCTGTCACACAATTAAAGTCATCTTTTGGCATCTTATGATCAAATCAGATCTCAAACCAAACAGATTACTATGCTACTCAGCTTGGTTTCCACTAAATATAAGCAAATAAAATATTTGAAAAAGTTTCACGGCTACAAGCAGCTCGGAAACTAATGAAACAATACATATAAACCAAGGAAGGCTGCCGGCCTGCGCCTGCCTGCATCGTCTACATGTGGCCAAGATGACAAGTAGCTTTATCCATCTTGATTTGTTAAAATGGAAAAACAACCAACCATAAAATGCAATACATACAATGAAATAGATGATTGAGAAGCTGGCGATCGTCCAATATCTTCCAAGATATGAATCAGCAAGAAATGCTCCTAATAATGGCATGATATAGCATGTTCCTGACCAATTTGAGACGTTTCTTGACGCTTCAGCGGTATGCTGATTGAGTTGGTTTGTGAAATAGATCATCAGATTGCTGCTCATTCCATAGTACGCCAATCTTTCACAGCATTCATTTCCTAGCAACAAAAAAGAATAAAAAGTACAATATGATGATCTTGCCAAGAATGCCACGGTCCAAATAAGAGGAAAACTAAGATGAGACAGTTACCAAGGATGTAAGGGCAGGCCTTCCAGGTTCCGGTTTTCCTCTTGTCAGCAGGGTTCTTACGATAATCAACTGTTCCATCTTTGGTGTAAT